CTCCTGTCATGTACGCTTATAAACTTCAACTGAACTCACAAGTCATTAATCTAAACAAAAGTCATACGACGTGGAAACGGAATGCAAAGACAATGTCGCTTTCATAACACATTACTCCTCTGGCAAAAAAGACGGGAAAAGACTAAAACGATAGACACTACTAAGTCACATATAATCCTGTCAATCATGAACAAAAGCTTGCGTTATCAAACAATACGTATATAAGCGCACCAATTCTCATTCCAAAAAGACATTAAAAAACGTTACAAAGGTGCTCTCAACTCAAATCAACTCAAAAAGCATCAGAAGTATTCCGAAAAAACACGTAAACAAAAAACACTCTTAAAACGTCGATATCTCTGTACATCGACAAATCTCAAAACTCTTAAAAACACGTGGGGGCATCATTCCTCCCATCATATTCCATACTCATAAACTCATTAAAACACCATAAAACTTCACAAAACTCAAAACACTGTGTTGCAAATACTTGTCCACTGAAACGCGCTTAAATCGTTATAAAGGACCTTGAACGTTACTAAATATCACTTCAAAACAAAGATCTGGGCGCTCACATAACATACAATTCAACATCACAAAAAAACACGGTAAAAACGATAGGAAAAGCAAGCAAGAAATACGTTACATACTAAACAATAGTGTTGAGATTCTGGAAAAAAGTTCAACGTCTTGAGTTACAGTGTTCGTTACAGTGTCCAACGAGCGGTTCTCTAAGCAATACACAGATATCTACAGTTCTAATCAAAGTCTCTACAGCGTCTTCTCTCTTGTCGTCGCGTTAGTCCGGGTCGTTCTTTATCTTCATCTTGTCTCTGATGTCTTCCGCTACACAAGTCCTATTCGATACTCGTCCTTCCGAACGGGCTCCGGAGTCTTCATGTCTTCAGCGTTGTACATCGGTGTGATTCGGGTAAAGCCGTTAGTCGTCAAGCGCAGTTTTGTCTCTGCCATCGAGTTGCTAATTTGGTTCACAAGAAAGACACACCTTCGCCATTTTACTTTTCTTCACAGGATGTCAATGTGTGTTAAACACCTGCCCGGGATCTCCTCTAGGGTTCTCCACACGTGTCAGGGGGAATCTCGTCTCGTCTCTCTATCGCGTCCCCTTGAGGTACGGGATCGGGAAAGTCGTTTTAACTTTACAGTCAAATATGACACACACAACAAAATACGTTTCAACTTTCGTCTTAGTCGATCAGTCGAGCGCTCTATAAGACACAGCGCCCTGGGGAAAAATCCCCAAGACTATCGCAAGGCTGACCCAAGACTCTGTCCAAGACTGCATCTCAAGACTCGCCCCAAGACTCTCCAAGACTGGACTGCCTCTGTCCTTGTGTACTCGCCAAGACCAACTAAAACTCTTTATTCATTTTCAAAACCTTAACCAATTACAAAACAGTATTAAGACTCTAAGGCGTAACCTTCAATCATAAAGCCAATCACACTAAGTACTGAATATGTCATATCTTTTGATTAATCGTTCACTACATTAATAACTACGAATACTAAACTGTCAGAAATAGCAGTCCGAATAGCGACGGTTATCTCTAATTAGTTCCAAATCACTGAGTTGAGTTCCGTCCAGAACTTCGCCTAAACAATGACAGACATAACACAACCATTCACTCTTAATCAACTCATTAAGTCGATCAACATATACGCGTAAACAATTTCATCATGAAATACTCTTGTTTCTCTTGGAATACCGTCCATGTATCTTTGTATTATGTATCGATCGCGTCGACTGGCTATTTGTGAATCGCTGGCAGGTTCTCATGATTAGTATTTAATGTCCCTATTATTAATTGGCTAGAATAAATGCGTATTCATTGATACTTTTTCCCAAGACACATATTGGCCAGCGTAAAATCCATGGTTCGAGAACTTATTATTTGGAAAGAGAACAAGCCGGCTTGAAACATCTGGGCGTTTTTGCCCAATCTATACTTGATGGAGTCGTTCCATTGACACGCCCACAACGCAAATCAATTCAATTTCCATGGGCGTTCATTTAGAATACATAAACAAGTTAATATTTTCTACAAGTGACTTAGGGGAGAATGTTGAGCAGTTACCAACGTAACACGGGAAGTAATAAAATAAAACGTATTATTTTTTTATTTTTAAGGTCTGAAACTGACTTTATTTATGGAACAGGATGAATATCTTGGCATATATGGACAGTCAGCAGGTGTCAGAGTCACTGTACACGGCAATAATGAAATGCCGTGGCCAGAGGATAGAGGTCTGACAGCCAAGACTGGTGCTGCAACATCTTTCGCCGTGCAGCAGGTAAATAATAGTGCAGTTTCGTTTAATATTAACATTTTGATCTTCAAAAACTTATGATAGAAGACTATTTCAGTCCAATGTGCTGAATGCCGAACATAAGGCAATAAAATATGCGTACTAATATATCATGTTGCATTTCAGAAAGTATTCAGTAGAATGCCTCACCCGTACGGAAACTGTGTGTCAAATGATACATATCTATTCAACGGGAAAATATACTCCAGTCTGGTAAGCTTGTTATGCATTTTATTCAAAATTTAAAATTATGTTCATATGAACTTTGAATTCAGGTATAAAATGACATCAATATTCCATCACCCCGACATTAGCGTGATGCACCACTGGTCCCTCCAACAAATGTGATGACGCCACATAATATATTGTAGCGATTTCTCTAGCGGTGTCGGCGCGTGCAATTAAGTGGGTTAGTTATATTTCACCGTGGCACAAAACTGGACGTATGTGACAGAGGTGGGAGTAAGCGCACATTCACATCCGCCGTTTTGATATGTAGCTCAATGTTCGTCAAAAATAAGCTGTCTTTAAAGTGGGGGAGTCGTTAACTACGCATGCGTCAGGTGGCCATAGCGTGTCATTGTTTACAAACAAGCGTCTACCCATGAGCCTTTGCGTTTCAGCGTGTGTTGTTATCATCGCTTGGGACTCAATTCCGCCGCATGCGCAGGTGACACCCCTTTACGGACATATAATATAGCAGCTATCACACATTATTATTTGCAGTCATGTAGAAAGATGTGCGTACAGGAAGCAATGATGAACTACTGTGGTTGTACAGACACCTATTATAAAGACCAGGTCAGATGCAATATACTAGACACTATGCAAGAGGCATGTCGACAGATAATCCATTATTTTTATCGGAAAGGTTTATTGGAATGCGAATGTCCACCGCAATGCTTGTAAGTATATTAAAACATAAATAAAAGAAGCGATGTTACACTTGGCATTAGATGAACTAAAATGGGGATGGGGGCTTCATGTTCCGTCGTATTCTACCAGGCAGTTTCTATTGATGGGATACCAAAAAAAAAGTCACAGAGTTGCCTGGTCGGTAGAGGGCGGTATTTATTGAAAAGATATATTGACACATTCTGATTTAATTTTCCAGTGAGGAATCGTATGACAACACGGTATCAATGTCAACTTGGCCGTCAGAGAGCTCACTAGTAAGTCTGCTTACATTATTTTCTGACTTTTAAATATATACATCTATATGTTTTTATTAGTGCGGGGGTGCCGTGTTTTACTTTACTGAATATATCGAAAACGAGCTCGGTTTCCAAGGAAAATAGTTATGTATATGAATAACAATTATTGCTTATTGCGTTTCTGTACTCATAAAAACGGTCACTGTTTCTGATATGAAGAATAGTTTTAGAAAATGGTCAGTATAAGATAATGCACGAGTGGAGTAGATTCTTTTGCATAGTATTTCACCGACACGAGGGCGCACTTCTGGTATCGATTTCCTGGTAAATTGAATGACATTTGAGCTTGGAGCCCGGCGGAGCACTTGCATTGTTTATATAACAGTATGCGAGTCACAAACGTTTGGTAAAAATGGCGGTCCGGGAGACCAGATCAGTCAAAAACCCACGCCTTGAAACAATTTTTAGAGAAAAACCCACCCCTTGAATCAAATTTATAAGAAAACATATCCGTTATTAATATACACTAGTTCAAAATCATGGTAAAAATGAATCTATCATTGCTTTATATGACATGTTCTGTCAACACAGCATAAATACGACCCCTTTAATTCCCAAAAATGTCGAAAAACGGAACCCTTGCCACTTGCAAATGTCAAAAAGGGGCCCCTTCAAGTTGGCCAGTGCAAATGTTAAAAGAAACCCTTTGACAACAATGCAAATGTCAAAAGGGACCTCTCACAATGTAATTTATACACTGACTCCTCTGGCATCGTTGGTAAGTGTCCAATATTGACCCCCCGAGTTGCGAGTTTGTACCCGAGCAGGGACTTTGCTTCAACTTAAAAATTTTGACTGTTGACTTTATATTCAAAATTATTGTGGAATCAGAATTGTAATTGCACATTACAGAGTATCATGGTGGGAGTGTGTACAAATCGTTAGTTTGTGTATAGTATATCTGGTAGCGTCGCATATGTGTGGGCTTCGAATACGACGAACACAACGTTCAGTACCATCAATGACCGTTGGTTGACAAACCTCATTGACGGTGCTGAAAGTCACTTACATAAAACGTACATTGCAATTGACCTCACTGTAATGAAGTATTCGTTGTGGAAAATGGAAAAAAGGAACATTTAACGAGGATATGACGGAGACACATCTAATGAATATTATTTGAAAGTGCAATTATAGTAGAAAACATTTATTATGAAACGCGGGAATCACGTATATTCGGTCTTGACCCACACTCTGTCTATTGTGGTAATTTGAAGACTACACGTTTTCTATCATACTAAACGTGTCACCAAATTAAAGTGTTTCTGGCCTTTACATTGCATAAAGTCTGAATGAGCGTAGGCAGGCCTAAATAGGTTTCAATTGTATACAGCGCCACCAGTGGCTATTCCCGGCTCCATGCGTATAGAAGACGGGCGGAATGTCTCACGAGAACGAAGAGTTAGATAGATCACGTGTTTAACTTAACATAATCATTTTCAGGTACACTTTAGTTTACTCGTCGTTTTGCTGGATCGATTTGGCATACTTCATATTATTTCATTTTTTTCGCACACAGGGACAATTGCTGAAAAGTCTGCACGCTATTAACCCAAAAGCAAAGAAAATTACAGACATGAACTCTGCTCAGTAAGTATGACGTGTCCACCCATAATGTGGTCAAATTATCTGTTTTTCATCGAGAAAGAAATAGCATTATACATGACTTCGATATGACTAAAATAACAAGCTCTATTTGCAGGAAGAATCTGGCAGCGATCTCAGTGTATTTTGAAAGTTTGAGTGTTGACATGGTGAAGGAATCAGAAGCGTACACGGTAAGTGGGTCACTATCTCTGGTTGACTGGCATGGACATACAGTAACTGACTTGAATACCATGTCTATCTAAATTCGATTTTAGAACTGTACAAAATCCAAAAAACTTACATAGCTTGAATAAAACAGTGAGATGATGCAGACACTAAAAGTGGGAATGCAAATTTCGAATAAATTATTCGATTTGCCCTATAAACTAAATACACGCAAGTGTGTAAACATCAGTTTTTATTTTGTTTCTATTTCAAACAGAAAGATGACTTGATGAGTGACGTTGGCGGATTACTTGGACTTTACATCGGGGTATCGGTCATCACAATCGTAGAATTCATTGTGTATTTGAAAAGCCTTCTAAGATTGATGTTTACCGGGTCTCCGGGCGACAACACGGTCACTGATGGCACCGATAGAGAAGCGGTTGGTGATGATGACGACATAGCGACATCAGCGCTCTGAGACATTTGTCGTAGAAAATTGATAGCGGCATTGCCAAAATTATGATCATTTGATTTCTACATGCTATCATTTGATATCTACATGTTATCATTTGATATTTGCATGTTATCATTTGATTTCTTCATGCTATCATTTGATATCTGCATGCTATCATTTGATATTTGCATGTTATCATTTGATTTCGACATGCTATCATTTGATATCTGCATGCTATCATTTGATATTTGCATGCTATCATTTGATACAAGCTACGAGTCCCCAGTGAAATAAAATGATTATATGCAGGACTCAAAATGATCGCTTGTTAAAACTGTTTTCAAGTGAATAAAATGCTGGCATGTAAAGAATCCCATGTTGAAATATTGAAATCAAATTATCGCATTTAGGAATTTAAATCATGAAATGTAATAATATATGGGAGGTTAATTTTGTATTGAATAGTGCGAAATACATGTACAGTATTATAATGTTTGTTTAAACGGAATTCGAACGCTGCGCGATAATTGTCCCGATTGTCTGTCCAGCGAACACAGTCAATGCGAAATGTCAATATTTGTTACACGATTGAATTGTGTATTCCTTTTTTATTTTATTTTATTTTGTTTGTGTTAACTATGAAAATAAAAGTTGTTTGCTATATATCCATGTTTACATCATGTTAATGTTCCTCACTTCAATTGAACGTGTTGTTCACTGATCATTCTGTAGTTATCTAATCTGGAAAATGTAAACGAACACATTGAATTAATCGGTATCGTATGTTTCGGTGTCAAAACCCCACCAACCCACTCGCTATTATGAAATAAAATCGATGATAATAATAATATGTGATCTTAGAAAGGATGAACGTTCGATCACGGCATTGTTAGTCGGCGCCGTGATTACAATGCGAATACGTTTTAGTTGTTCCGGTATTCCGGTACTATATATATGATATCATGAACTTATTCTTAAAGGGGGAGGGGTCGTCACCTGCGCACGCGCAGGAATTGAGTCCCAAGCGACGATAACAACGCACGCTAAAAACGCAAAGGCTCATGGGTAGACGTTTGTTTGAAACAACGACACGGTATGACCGTTTGCCGCAAGGCAGGTGACGACTTCAAGAAGTGGGTTTAGCTTCGCGTGTTATCATTGAAACTCGATCGGTACCAGATAATCCATATTTATGGTAATTTTTCATGGTGTGGGTGACGTAACAAAAACGCGATTTTTTATCTGAACAAGATGACAACAATGTTTTTTAACATTCTGTTTGTTTTTTTAATTTGAAGTATGATAGCAACGAAACTATCTTATTAACATTCTTCGTAACACGCGGGAATATACATGCTTTTCATAATGCTGGACCCCAGACCTAAATGACCGCCGAAATCTCGTTAAGATCTAGAGAGAATGGGTAAAATAAAGTGACTTGTTTTATTCTCTCCCTTCATCGCATCTACTGTTCCACATGTATCCATAATGATTATTTTGATCAGTGGACGGCGACTTGAGAGAATGAAACACTGTGATTGTTTTATGGCCAAAAACAAGTCTCGTGATTCAGCCTCTCGCTATCAACGAGATCTCAACGGTCATTATTGTCTAAAGTTCATTTAGTAACTATGGTGCATAATATTCTATGTTTTGATTGAATAAAACCATCATCAGCCGATAATCTAACTATAGAAGGCCCCATGAAAGCGCAAACTTCCAATTACTCAAATTTCTCCATATTATTCCAAGCGGTCATTTGAAAATTGATAGTTCTGTGTCTGTGTGCCCCCAAAAAACATCAAGTCGCCTTGCTGCACATCCACCCAGCATTCACCAAAATGTATGCTTAATAATCGAAATTTGTTCACGCTCACGTTGTGCACCCAGACAAGGGCAATACAATACAAAAAACATTCCTACGTGGATATACGAGAAATATGTTTCATTATAAAAAGTTTGCTCATTATCGTGAGCATTATTGAATCTACACAGTGCAGTAGACTACAGCTTACACAAGCTGGATCACAAACTCCCACAAACTCCAGTGACAGTGTTTGTTTGTATTTTTTGTCTAAACCATTAAAGCGCGGTGGTCGTCGCGCAGCGCGTGTTCGAATTCATGTAAATAAACAATATATTTTACACGCGTTGTATACGTCGCCATGAGTCCCATATCGAACAGGACGCGGCACGACGACTGTCGCCCTTTAAGAATTAGATTACTTACAAGCTTTGGCTGAAAAGTATAGAAATCTTTAATTTTGTTTTGAAATGAACTTAAAAAAACACAATATTATACCAAAAAAATGTTGTCAACTATCATCAATTGTACAGCTTCAATGATTTGTCTGTCAAAGAAATAGTTTCATGATAAAGTGACTGATTTGTATATTCTGTGAATCACTACATGTGTTTATAGCCTGCACTCAGTGTTAAAGGAACCACGCTTTCCTCACGTATAAACTTTTATTTAGTTTACATTCAGAGTCAACGTGATTTTCAAAATTGTCATTCGGGTTAACATACCTCCAGTGACTCTCTTTGTTTCACATTTCTTAAACTACCATTTCAGTTATCTTTCCATTTATTAATTATGGAATTTGTTAGATGGTTCAATTAACTGGAATTATTCATCTGTTAAAAAAATAATAAATATTATTCACTGCTGCTTACCATTGCAAGTTGCCCCATATTTTTCCAAGGCCAGGTTCCCGGATGTACTGAAATCAGCACGGTAAAATTTCCCCATATCCAGCTTTTAACACGTGTTCGTGCGTTGTTTTCCTGTTAGCCAATCACAGGTTTGGAATCAACGACACACCGAAATAAAATCCCAGGTGCAACGGTTACACGTCATCCAGATAATACCATTGCATTCGTTTTTCAACGTCATTTGAAACGTCTTCACTTCACTTAAAGCGAGCGTCTCAGTGTTTCCACAAAACCCTTTTAAAATTGCGATCAGGAGGTATTATTTTCTGATAAAATCACAATGTCACAGGCTAACTCTAGTGGCAGTGTATTTAATGTACCAGCAATCTTCATACCAATGGGCGATTTCAACGAGGGCAATGACAACACAGACGACGAACCAAAAGATGACCAGGGTACAGCTTCATTGGATTCAAGCCTAATGTTTCCTTTGATATTTGTCGCGATATTTCTAGTTCTGCTGCTGATTTTTCACTGTGTCGTAGTCTACAAATTCCGATTACGTGCTCGACGAGACAAAGCTATTATTGACCGTGTGCATGGGCAGCGGTTCATCAGCCGTGGTGTCGATGCACGAAGCTCTACTTGTTCTAATATATTATTGAGTGAGAAGACGGTCAAAAGCTCAACTAACAGTATTGACCGTCCCGTTAAATTATCCAATTTGTCTACATTTCCAGAAATCCCACGCTCGTTATTCATTGGCGGTGACGCATGCGTAGTTGCCCACTCCGATCCAAATATCATTCACGTACAAACCTACGGGACTTTACGTTCAAACCCCGCGTCGTGGAACGACTACGAAGCGCCTCTTTACACACAGGACGCCCATCGTACTCTGACCCGTCGATGACCAAGCACTCTGATCTACATACAAATAACAAGCCTTTCTGTGGACAGGAACTTTACAATCCCCACTGTCGTGCCCGTGCAAAATCATTGGAACTATTCGAAAATAGCCGGACACTATCGCCGAACACTACCAGTCGTTTTGGAACAAATAACACTAGCAGCGTGCCGACTATTTATTATATCGAAGACAGCTACAGCCAGAGTGGTAGTCTGACAGTATTCCCAATATTCCATACTTACAGAATATCACATGGAAAAATAATGAGGTATGTACGCCTTGTATAAATTATCACGTGTTTAAGGAACTTGATAAACCACAATCCTATGCGATTTGTACTTGAATATATTGATTTGTAAAGGTTTGGTTTGGATTCGCTTCATGCATCCCGAGAACATGCATTTTTTTTCCAAAAGTTTTTCTATTTGCTTGAACAGAGGCGGCGGCACGAAAGTTTCTAGTTCAAGATGGGGGGGGGGGGGATTGCTCACCATCCCTTACCGCGACCTTACTAGGGGGTCTGGGGCATGCTCCCCCTTTAAACTTTTGAAATCTAGACCCTCTGTAACTCTATTTCCTTCATTTGAGGGGCAAATCTTGCTGACACAAAGAGTTTCAGTTTGATTTTAAAAGGGGCCGCGATGCTCAAACATTTTTGTCGAGGGGGCGACCGCCTCTCTGCCCCCCATGTGCCACAGTCACTGATGAATCGTTTAATTTGATAAGAGAAAGTAGCAATTTTTGTCAAGAGTAAGCCAAACGTACACTTTTCAACCATACAGAGCAATTCGTGGATAACTGAGGGAGTACCCATCATCTGGTTGTGTCTTCAACTCGTGATTTCAAATACCTAGAATTTATTCATTTCCCAGTAAACTGTACTTCCGGAAAATATAAGGTTAGTGACTTAAAAAAAAAGGGGGGGGGGTCACCAGCTTAATTTTTCGAGAAAATAATGGATGTATTTTAGTGGATACTCCATCAGTAGCAAAGCAGTTCTTTTACTAGAGGTTTCTGTGGCAGAGACTATATATCTTAAATTAGGCATAGACATGATGTGTTTTGTTCTCGATTATTTAAAAAATCTGGGTTTTAAAAAGGAGCAAAAAATGCAATTTTTCTCTAACCTTCTGTTTTATATAGCGATAGCAATTTTTTGAAAAATATTAAGACAAGTTTCCTAAAATAATACACAAAACAGTGCTATTTTATAGTGCCATAATACAAAAGCTTTATTTTTAGATTTTTAGTCAATAAACCAATGAACATTGTCATTATGAGTAGGCTTCTACCTTAATCAACTTTTTTGCGCATTAGTTAGCTTGAACGACCATTGCTGTGAAATGACATTGTTACAATGTTTTATTTATTTATTTTTATTTTTTGTTGCCTCCCAGAGTTCATATGTATGTGCTTCAAAATGAACCACTTATTATTAATCTGACCAATTTCTTCTTTTCTAGCTATATTCCCCCGCTGAGTTGACATCGGGAGTCAGAGCGCCTCACAACAGTCTAATGATATCGAGCGTGAATACCTCTACATCGCTGGGACCTGGGCTCGATTCTGACTTCGGTGCCAGTGCTGGGTGCTCCCAACGAATCGTGTCCTCCAACAACAGCATTACGACATCGGAGGATAGCCGTCATAGAAAACCACAGAGCGACGTCGCTACTCTTACGCCCACTGATTGGCATAACGCGACACCTTATTACACAGACCACCAATATGGCTACGTTGACGGGCACTCTATCCCAGTACTCGAAAGAGCACAGCACTGGGTATGAATTCGGGTGCAATTTATTTATTCTTAAACGTCCATATTTTATAAAAATATAGTACACAGGATACAAGGTTTACTTTATAACCCATCCTGCAGTGAAGGGAAGCAGTGCCCCGCTTTCAGGTATTACAATAGTATTTCAGAAGATTCGTCAAATTACTGTTTCTGCTACATGACCGTTCAATATAAAAATGTATTTATGTGTGTAAGCTTATGTATTCTGAGTGTCTTTGTATATAAATATATAATTTTATTTTTGTTGTAAATTTAAAAAAAATGTGACGTGTGCGATGTAATAAAGAAAATACTTAACATTCTTTGTGTTTATATCTGTATACTTTCCGTAACAGTTGAGATGCGTTGATCTGTAGTGTGGCAATTGCACTTGGATAAGTTTGTTGTACATGCACTAGTTTTCAGTATCAATATCTCCCAATCCCCGCCATCAATCGGACGCATAAGAATTGTCATCTTCGGCGGCCATCTTGTATATATCGCGAGGCCACATACCTCGTCTATCATTCGCGCCCTCTAGTGACGTGAACATTACGTAGGTATGCGTGAGCAACATATTTCAAAACTACAAATCTGTTGTAGTACATTAATTAGTCATTTTGCATATAGTACATCTTCCAAGGTAGAATAAGTGCCAGTGCGCATATTGCAGTGTCAAAATCTGTATATAATCGTATTATTCAACAGATTTCTTTTTGACTTTTTCCGATTCACAGTCAACCCGTTTTTTGAAAGTGTCCATGAATAAAGACGTATAGCAATTTAGAAGCATAAATCACAGTAAAAACTTCATTTTGTCATTGAAATCTCACTGAAAATTATGTAAATGTCGGTAATACTTCTAGACATGAACGAAATATTGCAAGACACTATACCTTATTTTTTCAAAATGACCACAATTTTGAAATTGTGTGATATATTCTCTTCATAGAATAAAATGGTTGCGAAATGCCCTCTAAAAACAGACAAATGTTAATCGTTTAATCTAATTGTTTACATTGATTTTCTCCGACAGTCACGGTGACCCTAATTTTTATTTCATTTTTACATCCTTGTAACATAAAATATCGTAAGTAAAAAAAAACAAAAATAAACGTGACACAATGTTTTAGTAATTATCTACAAATAAATTTGCTCTTTTTGTTGGTCTTACTCGTTGCAGTGGCTGGTTGATAGTCCCAGGTTTGTGCACGTTAGATGTTACCCATGTCTAACTAATCATCCAGCATTAGAGGAATCGCTAAACAACGGCACATATGCCGAAATCAACGGCGAATTTGTGACGTGTGAACGCAAAGGTATTTTAAAACAGATAGAACTAATCGAACAAATAGAATAACACAACAAATAACGGCCTATTTTTTACAGTGTGAACACAGCTTACTATTCCAGTATTCTGCATTAGAAGATTAGATTGCTCCTTATGAATACCATGCATAATAAATTACAGGAATATTTAAATAAGGTCATTCCACATGCGTTATATATACACGTTTTTTTATGCCATGAATCAAACAAATGAGTTGGTAACTTTAATGAACATAAATAACTGTAAGATACATGTACGGATAAATACACACGTGAATACATTTATCTATCTAGTCTGAATGTGCAACTGAGGCGGTCGACTTGCTCGCTTCCTGTATATTGTTTTATGCAGACACAATCTTATTACGTCGAAAAGAAAGTCGAACGATTCAAATATAGTTATCGTTGATATTCCGATGTACAGACCTAGAAGACCGCCGATGTCACTGGCCAGGTCTTCCTCCTAATAACCAGAATGCAAACAAGTATTGTAAATAAAAAAAGAGGTTTCAGAAAGATTATGTAGTTGAATAAGGATTAATACGACGTGATTAGCTGAATCAAAACTAGAAATGGCGCATGTGATGCAGTCTGATCTGATTGTGTTTGTCAAGGGAAAGGCGTGCTTTCGTTAAACCACCACGGCAAATTACAGAGTTCCCTCAAACGTTCTATTCCGTTATATGATGGCGCTGTGTAAACGTCATTCACTGAGCGTTAGGCAAAAATGTCACCAGCAAGGATGAGTAATGATTTTTAAATTAAGATGATTTCTTGGCATAATAGTAATACTATACAGTTACTTTAATAAATATATATGGAGTGTACCTGTTATTACTCGATAGTGGCACTGGTTTCCACGGGCGACTAGATAAAATATTAATAATATCTATGTTGTAATTAGCATACACAATTCTGACTGTAGTATATATTTATTTTTTCGTCAACTTGAAAAGTATAATTACAGAAAGTTTTAAGTTATAAATTTGCGGCGTCAGAAGTATTGAACATCTTTGTCTCATTTTGGTGTTTTCATTCTCTTTCACGCTCGCGCACACATTTTTCATTTCTTTAGTTCACGCTATATAGGAGAAATATTTAGCAAGCTATTTATATTGAAAAAGGAAGGACTTCTTTCCATATGCCTTGGCGCGTATAAAATAACTTTAGTACACTGCGCGTAGTGATTTAAAAGTAATAGCACCACGATGGCATGTAACCAATGGAAACTGGAGTTAATCATACATCTAGTAACGCTACGGAAGTGCGCCCTCACACAAGGACAGAAATTTCCCATATCGTGTCAGGTTCAGCGCGCCTAGCTTTCATCAATCAAATCAAGACGCGTCATTTTAAATTACGTCGTGAATTTGAGTTCACGTCATGGTAAAATTGTAATTACACCTAAACTGTATGATAAAACCTTTATGGACTAGATACAGTCCATAAAGAATAATGTTGCTATGGAGTTAATAAAAGGCACACTTTTCATATACAGTTATTTAAAGTGAAGTGTTCGGAAATTGAATATACTTTCTTCCTTTCAACTGTGCTGGTAGTTATGCTAATTAGTCCATGAGCCAAAGACGGAAACAATTGCTTATCGGTAACATCTCAGGGATGGGTGCTACTAAAGATTTTCTTGGAGCATTGTTGTGTACATTACGAATTTGTATGATTGGAAGCACAACATTTAGCTTCATCAACTCGTCCCTCAAAGTCCATACTTTGAATTGAAGGTTGTTTCAGATAATATGATGACACTAAACAAAACAGATGAATTCGAAAAAATGTGGCGAAAATTGGTAAATAGCATATATCGCTGCCAATGTACTACTGATCATACTATCAGTTCGCACTAATTGAATTATTAACTGCATGCTCAAAATTACTACTATATAATGTTTTTGAACGCTAGAAATCGTTCTGTTATGATTAGATAACTAACTCATTTGCAATTTTAATATGGTCTCCAAGTTGCATACAACTATTACAGTTCACTCAGATGATAGAGGTAAATAATATTGGGCCCACTTTTATTGAACCTTAATATTTTAAAATAACATGAGGGTGTAACCTATAACACATGGGACAGTATCTTTTCCGAACAGTTTTGCTTTAGTCATTGCATACGTACGGAGATAATTTATTGTTTTTTACCATATGATGTGCCCACTTCACACCCTGACTCGCATCCTAGGTAACAGTGTTTCATGGAATTGATATACTAGGGTGTTTTACCTGGTAATCTTATACTCTATGAGAGTTTGTCAATTAATTCTAGAAAGTGTTCCTCCAACCCACAGTATACCGTAATCCCTCACTGGCACCACAAGTTGCGTATTCATTTACAGGTAAATCCGTATAGCTCATCACAACACTCAGTGAAATTGACGTGTCAATATATCTATGCGATATTCTAATAAGGTGAAATTCGGTGGTCTCATTGAAATTATGCAAATTATAGTTATTTAATAACAAAAGCTATAGCTGCGTTTCAGAGCATACTATTCTTTAATATAGTATTTGAAATTGGGGTATGTTCAATAGTGCAGTAGTGCAGTGATGGCTTTCTTGGATTCCCTACACTTATGGAAAATGTTCAACACCCTCATAATACATAAGCATAACCCTCCAACCTTGACAGAAAATACACTCATGATATGATAGATAAGTTGATCACCTCATTTTGTATATTATATTATTTCAACAACTTGGTCACAATATAGTAACCCCAAAAATCGCAATGATAAATTATATATATGATAATATGATATAATATATTAAGTTGAGTAGCCAAATTGAAATTATGCAAATGACTTAATTGTCTAATCATAATATGAGTTGTGTATGAAGCAATATGGTGTCATCAATTATTTAGGTAGTCCTAAACAATATTTGTGTGGAATTGTTGGCATATGCGCTATCATTAGATCTAAACTTTAAGTTGAGCCTATGAGTCTATGATTGGCTAGTGTTTATCATTAGCATGTAATTGTTTATTGTAACTTTTGAAGGTGCGGTTTATGCTAGAGACCTCCAAACGTTTCATATCATATGCTTTTGCTTAGTGTTGTCAGTGACACGCGTAACGGGGACTTTGGCTCCCAACTCTGCCTACAGTAGAAATAAGACTGAATTTATTAAGTTGTGTGTAGTTGTTGTTATCTCAGAACTCAGCCCCAAAGTTTGACAATAGCGAATCAAATGATAAAATATTTTCGTCAGAGTTCGAGTATTTTAGAACACGTTATTATGTAACATTCTAGTAGGAAATAACCAGAGCATGATTAGGAGCGTATTGGCGGCCATATTAGATGTATGTAAATTACCCATTTTTCTCACATTTTTGTTAAATTCACCTGGCTCATTTTATTTAATTATGCACAATTTTGTCAAATTATGCACACGAGTGTTGTCATTATTCTAGCGTTTAAATACTCTATAGCATTAATGTTGAGCATGCATAAAATATGGAAATTACCAGAATAGGTAAGCCCAGTAGCGCATTGGCGACCATCTTGGATTTAAGCTAATTACCGATTTTCTCTAAAACAACCTTCAATCTGTGACCCCAGAAAAGAAAAGAAATACCCTACACAAATGAATTGACCAATGGGCGTTCTAGAATGTTCGTGGTGTTCGTAACTTAGTTATGGCGTGGTCTATGGTATAAAAGTTCACCAATTTACAACTAACGCCACACCACGTTAGCTATAATTAAAGTTCCTACCTGATAGGCCGGTACCTCCGATACACGTTGAACAGATAGACTTTCAAAATAAACAGCAATACTCGCAAGATTTTGTCTGTAATTGAAGATTTATTGAATTACCGCGTATCCAAGCAAAGGTGACGATCAAAAGGACCCCTTGTTGTGGAGTGAAGGTTTCCACTCTAAATAACGTAAAATAAGTAAGCGTTCGCTAGTGTAATTTCCGTTTGGAACGGGAGGAGGTTTTTTGACAACACATGTTATGGATTCATCAGATAGTAATTAAAGCACGACGTAATTAATTATCGTATTATACTTAATACGATGAAATTCGAATCGCATGTATTTGTAACACTGAAGTGCATCGTTATACTTACGTAGCACTCTGGAGATTTGTTATACTTTTTGTTTTGGGGTTGATGGAATGAATATTTTTTAGTAGTTGGGCCTATGAAAGAAACAAAAAAAAAATCATTCACAACACGTCGTGTGGCAACAAAGGTATAAATACGCATGCGTACATCTGCAAATAGACGAAATAGTCATACATACCAGGTACATTTCAGACGGCCATGTTGAATGCGATATTGTTTTTGCGTAGGTAATTTCACTGTAATATCAAAACAAAGCAATAAATGCTCCTGTTAGTAATCGAACAGCTTTTCTTTTTATTTCTTTTCTTTTTTAATTTTTTTAATTATATATTTCAATTTTCTGACTGTGAAAGACCAAAGGTCTAAACAAACTACATAGAGAATTCAAATAATAAGACTAGTCAACCAATCATTGAAGGCCTTGCATACAGTAATTATTCCGATTGGTTATTGAAGTTTGGGCAAAACCAATAGAATTTAAACAGCAGAACGTTAATAAGGTGCTGACAACTACACTTCTGATAAACATGGATCTTACATGGATTAATATAGGGGTAAATGAAATTCGAATAGTGGCGAGAAAACGTATGCTTGAAGTTCATAAGACGTGGTTTTAGTTTCCAATGGCGCTCACGAAAGCTGAGAGTTTCATTAACATATTTGTTCTATGCATGACGGAAAGCATTACTCAAAACACGTTGAATTTGCATGCACTTACTTGCACGATAGTTTGCATTCATCACATGGTAATTGAGATGACTCGTGGAGGAAATGGATCAGTTGGCGACACATTTCTGATGAGAAAATCACAACATATAAACAAGCGCGGGTCTTACTTTGCTAGGATTGGAGAAATGTAAACACTAGATGTGCTTTTTTTCTATCAATACAGTATAATATTTCATTATTACATATATATGTACCGCAGTTTACTTTGCAAACAAGCAAAGAAAAACACACAAAAAACAACAATAATAACAAAACTTAATCCAGTTTATTTGGTGTTTGTGTAGTTTTCCACGAGATAACTTCATACATACGTTGAAAATTCTTCATAATTAATATTATAGAACACCGGAAACAACAAAAATTGGTTATATATAATATGAACGTTTGTGATAGCTATGACATGTCTGACGACCCATACTATCAATGGCGATACACAAAATAGTATGTTATTTAATGACAGATATGCAAATCACACGAGCCAAAAGCGCTCGTGAATTGTTTATATGCACATACTCAGATTCAATAAACGTGGTTTCCATTTCAAAGGGATTTGTAAACAGTTTGCCTACCCTGAGTCTTATTCAACATAAGACAACGAGGCGATCCGGCGAATGTATCAAGACATCCACAGTAGATGTACATATATTTATGCAGACAATCTACTTGGCATTCCTGTAAAAAAAACAACGCAATTTGATAATTCACAAGTTACACAAATGCACTTCAGCCGATCTGCGATTACTTGAACGTTAATAACGAAATGCCACATTGAATGTACGACCACCATTTGGTATCAGGTGTTTCACAACCCATTGTGATTGACCACTCACCTTTCTAGAATAAAGAAACCCTTCATCGTCAGGAACATTGGGTTTGCAGTCTTGGCCATATGGTGTTTGCAAACGGTGTGCTACGGACTAAAACGTGTAATAAAATGTATAGTAATTGTATTATATCGTGTCGGTTCATTGCAAGTACACTGTAACCTCAATATAATGAACACCGTTACAATGAATTACCTGATATAATGAACACACAGCGTGTCTCCCGCTCACTACAAACCCAATGTATTATGTGCTTCAGTATAGTGAACATTTCACTATAACAAACTAATTGTATGTCCCCCAAAGAGTTCGTTATAACGAGGCTACTGTGTATTACGTCGTAATCCCAATGTCCTAACTATTTTCAACAACCACTTGAAGCGAATGGGGCATCGCCCGCGCACGCGCGAGAATTGAGTCTCGAGCCACGATAACGCACGCTAAAACGCATAGGCTCATCGGTAGTTTGTTTGTAAACAACGACACGCTATGGCAGACTGCCACATTTGCAGGTGACGACTCCCCCGCTTAAATATTTAACTGTACCCACTTTTTTAATGGCAAATGATGTCACCGAACCCGTCTTTGCCGTCATGCCCTCCTCTTCAGGTGATGGAACTTCCATGGGCTGGTGGATAACGATACGCACACCAGACTCTTGTCCATACATGCCCAGGTATTCTTCTTGTTCCGTGAACACTGTTAATAACAGTCCTGCGTAGAAATAATTGCAAACATTTGATTCTGGATGTTAATAAACAATCTCCAATAATTGTAATAAGAACAATATACATTGACGAGTTGAACTCACCAGAACCGCCACCAGATCGAGTTGATTTTTTCTGTTCGTGTAGATCAGCGTTGAAAATAAAGCAGTTACCGTAATGTTCATTCGGTATTGTAACAAAGTCTCTGCAAGAATTAAAGGAAAATAAATATATCTAAACGTAGAATATGTGGGAAATGTTAAGGACCTGGGTCAATTTGTATCTTTAGCTAGAAATATACGCCAAAATTGGACCTATATCGAGCCTTGCACATTTGGATGCTCCTACACATGTTAAAACAGACCTTGAAGGGAAAAAAATCGATTGTGTCGATAAACAAGCTTGAAAATCTTTGCTGTGACTTCATGGACAGTTTCTAGGAGTTAATTGTTTTCAAAATACAAGGTCTTTAACAAAAAATAACGTATACTTATTGTCGTAGGATTAACACAAAATTTTCACAACTTTAAGGTGACAATGAGAGGAACTTGAATGTGTCCAGACAAACTATTTCGTGGATTATTTACCAACGTGTTGTAGTTTGAGTTGGGGGGCAATGCGACTAAAACGGAAATTAAAATTCAGCACACTACTTTTTAAAACGCATTGCTTGAATAAAACTGACCAGACACATTCAATTTACCAGACTATTGAACAAACTAGGAAAAGTGAAAAACTAATTTCTTATCACCAGCATAAATGCGTAATTATTTTTTTTTACATAAAAAGTAATTTTTTACCTTTGATTGAGTAACGCGTCGTAGAATGCAGATACGGGCATGAAAAAATATACATTTGAAAAGCTTGAAGTCTGGCGATTCCAAAAATATATACTTTCCTGGATCTGTTTGTAGTCATTTAGTCATAATTAGAAGATGAAAACAAGTATGTAAATAATAGTCTCGCTACCTCAAATGTTTAGCGCCAAAAGAGAAGAGCCAGCCAATGCCCAGTAAGCCAGTTTCATAATCATATTTCAAAATTAGATTACACTTTAACTTTAAAATCAGGTATACTTTGTACATAAGTTTTAGTCGAAATAAAAACTACAATAAACATTAGTTTAGGTAAATAGTACTGTAGTTCTCTTAACTCGGAATATAATAAACATATCGATTACCCCGGGTCACACGGTGCACCATTGAAAGTACATTGCAGAATGAAATCTTCAAATTGGTGCCCGTATTCGCGGATTTCTTCTGCTGTCAGTTTTAACACATTTCTAAGATCACTGTAGTCTGGAGTCGAGCTGAATGTTACGAAGTCCTTCCAATCTGCTGGATCTTCTCGCCCCACTCTATCGAAACCGGGATTTGTGTAGTAATATTCCTGGAACTCATCAAATAGCTGTTCAGAGTCTTCAGTAATATCCAAGTACTCATCCTGCCAACCTTCATGAAATGGACTAGCAATCTCTGCCGATTCTATAAAATGAACATGTGAAATAACTGATGCTAGTTTTATTTAATTAAACATCGCTATCATTTTGTCAAACGAGTCTCGTCTCCCATTACTAACAGAACGTATTCAAATACAACAAATCTCTGACAATTTGAAGAAAACAAACACTATCAGTTTGTCAACGGCCCAAAAAAAGAGAAAACAGCTGGTGAACAGATATTATTAACAAACATGTATTGACAATTACTATTGTTTTACCTAAACATGTTAATTTAGAGGAAACAAATATCAACAACATTGTTTCCATTTTGTGTGTTCTAAATAAATATTAGATTGTTTTTTTGACAACAGAAAGCGATCGATATATATTATTATATGTACATTTTGAAAAGAAATGATACTTAATACTAAAATTTGAGAACTTATTTCTCAAAAGATATATTTAAAACGTTACAGACTTCGCCGTCAACAAAATCGCATCTCAGAGGTTGGTTCAGTCCTATTGTATATGTATTTAAAAGTTACCTACCAGTATGTACACATAATGGCCAATACTCATCTTCGCCTTGGTCACACTCTTGTTCATTGTTACAGTATCGAATACTTTCAATGCAATATCCACTGCGACATTTAAAAAAACCACTGGGACATTCGCCATCATTGCCAACAACCACTAGAATCAAACCAGATATTTTACGGTCATTTGTAGTTTACTCACAAAAAAACATCAGGCCAATGTGACAGAATCTATTAGAAGATATTTACATTTTTATCTAGGAAAATCATTGTTGTCTGTATATTCAGGACGGGGAATTATGTATATTCATGAGCAAAAATGGCATATTATGGTTCGATACTCTTTTATATAATTGATTTCAATCAATTTGGTCACAAGAATGTTATGGTCATAAACACGTGACCATCGTCTCCTACCTTGTTTTCCAACACAGATCCCACAGCTTAATTGGCACCTTGATTTCATAAACAAAGAATTCTGGGAACATTCACCTTGTGCTGCCCAATAGGGACATGCCTCATAATTATCTACACAATCTAGAAAATATAAAATGTAACAGTTAAGCATGTTAACATGTGAACTTATGATATGTATTGGCATTATCAGTCTGAACGCCGACCGCCATTTGTATATGTGTCATTCGAACGTTTAACACCTGGTGGTAATTTCCTGGAAAACACCTGCCATTATTTAAATATAAAAATGCAACCATCATCAATCCAAAAAATCCAACACCAGAAAACATATGATAAGCACAGATACACAATGCAGTTTTTTTTTAACACACACTTTTCTGCTTCTAGTTTAAAATTTTACTTACGGACATCGGTGCAGTTTGCTTCCTCGTCGCTTTTATCTATACAGTCAGTGTATCCATTGCACACCTTCCAATTGTCAATACATTGACCATTATTACACGAAAATTCCGCATTTTCACAGTGATCTGGAGAAAACAACATATCACTGATATTGTCTGTAGAGACGATCATTCAACTTAATATGTAAATTAACTTCAATTTATATCGTTTTCGAGCAGACACAGAACAACAACGCTTACTATGGATACACTGTACTTCGTCACTTCCGTCACCACAGTCATCTACCCAATCACAGACCTTCTTTTTGATGATGCATTTTTTGTTATCACACGCATATTCCCATTCCTGGCATTTCCCTGAATACACCGATTGAAATATAAAAGCACGAACATGAGACGAAATATTGTAATGCAATATATCAATTACTGTCAATAATTGGCGCAATAACTACAGAGTGGAAACCGATATTGTTTTAATTGACTAATCTCTAGGCACTCTAGTAGCTTGTTGAACTCCTTGTTTTTGTTACTTCTTGATTGGTGAATCGCTTGCCATATAACAGGTTAACAAATAAAGAACAAGGCTAATTGAAATTTAGAATTCGGAAACTACTATTAATAGTTATCTATGGCATTTCGTGAAGGTGTGTAATGGGTATCATTACGATATGAGAGTTATAATAACGAGATTTCCATGACAGAAGTGAGGTGGTAATAAATGCTGCACAAAATATTATCTCACGATATCGACAGCCGACTTCATCCATCTTGTCCTTGCAGTCTGTCTTGTAATCACACCTGTGGATATTAGGATGACAGATTCCCATGTCACATCGAAATCCTTGTTGACAAGCATCATCATTGATATCACGTCGCTGTGTATTCCCTGTAGTAAAAAAAACCATACATTTACGTCACTGATAGTGTTTGCGTGAAATCACACTGGTGAATATTAATATGGTCAACTGTAACAGTAGCCATATGCTCTTTTTCTGTGAGGTATTTAATTTTCCATTACAATTAACGTACATTTGCTAAAATGTGTCTAGTCAGCAAGTAGTTATGAATAGAACAGACTGACAATCAAACTGAACGATAGAGAAAGAATAGTCAAGGCCTCAGCTTGGATTTATTTTTTACACAGTTTAGTGAGTTTTTTGTTAACAGTAGGGAACACGTGTTTTCTGACATTAATATTTATTATTATACATCTGTCACTGTAACGCTATAGGTTACAGCATGCCGTAATGCCGTAATTCTGCGGTATTTCACGAGGTATTATCATCCTACCATATAAAGAAATGCGAATTCCAAATATTGAATGATTACGCGCGTAAGCGTTCTCTAATAATAAACAAAAAACATGGCTGCCACCTGGGTTTGATCGGACTCCGCACAAAGAAGTTCGCTTATTCTGTTCCAAACTTTTTTAGATTTCGGCATTACCATGATGTATCCTTGGTAGGAAAAGATGTATAATAATAAGGTTAATACGAAGATACCTCAAAGTATGAACCCAGATAGTACGCTGTTGCATCCGACCTCCGCTGCGCGTCAGTCGATATTTCTGTTGTACTGTCTACAATGCATACTTTGAGGTGTTCTCGTAATAACTTCATATTATAGAAACAGTTCACAAGGTAACAGATACTATTTTACCCAGGCCAATTTAACATTACTGAAAACTAAATGTGAATATTCAAAACATACCGCACATTTCAGGATTTTCATCTTCCCTCTGTGCGTCAATGCAGTCGTCAATACCATCGCATACCTTGCTAGCATCTACACATATTCCATAGAATCCCCCTTTGCTGCACTTAAACTCTCCTTCGCTGCATATAAAGAGACCTACGCGAACAATAAACAGAAATGATTTACAGAGTCGTATTGCCCAGACTTCAGAACACAAAGAGCGTTTGCTTGTGATACTGTACCATACTAAATTAAACTCCGATCTTAAAAGGCGCAACTAATGTGTAACATCGCTGATATGTTTTGAGGTCGCAATTCCACCTTGGTTAATATGTTTTTGAAAAAATGGATATATAACCATCCAAACTTACTGTAGTCACAGCCGAACTCGTCACTAGCATCCGGGCAACTGATTTCGCCGTCACACACACCATAGGATTTGATACAGTTGATCTGATCGTTGCACAGAAAGTCACCATGTAAACACGGAACTGAAACATACAACGCCATCACACTCACTGAAATTAAATTGATTATCTCCTACCTTTTGTACTTTTTACTTATTACATTCTGTGTTAGATAATTTATGAAACCGCAGTACACAACCATCAACAAGTCTTGAAATATGAATACATGTTGTAGCGTATCAGACGATTAAATATATTAAAAAGTTACAGTCGTCGCACATTTCGTTCTGATTTTGTGTAAGCAAACAATGTATTTCCCAAGCATTGGGTCGAAATCTAACACGACAGGGAACAAGAACTGCAGGGTTTTAAGCAGTTTCAAAAATAATTTGTCTGCCACTAATATAGTTCTTTGAATCGAGAATATATAACCAAACTTACCATAATATGGAAAGACCTGAGCTTCTTTCATTATCGCCACCAACGGTGAATATTTGCTTCGTGCCAATGCCGATGACCGCACTTTGTTCGTATTGCACACTGTAACTGCTGGAAAAAGCAATACTGACTCGGGCAACTCTTCTACTTTGATGAGTATTGGATAATTAAAGAAACGCTTTATAACCAGCGACAGCTGTGCAGTTACGAGGATAATCGCGATGACAAGGAGCACTGTCCAGAATATTCGGGAACATGCTTGATTGGCGCGGGCTATCTGAGGCAGTCCGTGCCAAGATGTTTGAGTGAAGAAATTGCGAGTAATATCCGAGCATGTCGGGGAGTCATCGGTGTTTTCTAGAGTACGTGCTTCTAAGTTAGGATCGTTATCATATCCGATTGGCAATACGCTGCCGTCATTCCCGAAACGTTCAATGGACCAGTCAATGGATGACACGACATCATGACCTGTCATCTCCCTGTTGGATAGATGACAAAACAGTAAATGAAATATTTAGTTTTGTCTTAAGATGCAATTGCCAAAATAAACTGTGAGTATGAATAACTGAGCCGTATGTTAACAACAGAGAAACGTGATCACAAATAATAGTACCTAGACGAGAATCATTGATACAAGTTCTTTGCGAAATTCCGAGAACACAAATCGAGTGACAACAAACAAATTACATTGTAACCTCAATATAACACCGTTATAATGAACTTCCTGATATAATGAACACATAACGTGTCTCCCGCTCACAACAAACCCAATGTATTATGTGCTTCATTATAGTGAACATTTCACTATAACAAACTAATTGTATGTCCCCCAAAGAGTTTGTTATAACGAGGCTACAGTGCACTGACAATCTTATCACAACAATCAGTCAAATCAGAGAGAAAAAAGATACATGGACCTTAACACAACGCATTTGTAAAAACTATTGTTTAAATGAGACTATGGCGGAAAGAAAGATATTTTAATATTGCGCTGTACTCACCGCATACACAAATCATCACTATCCCCGCTTTTAACGGTAGTACACTGTAGAATATATACATAAATAAATAAATAAATAAATAAATAAATATGATGATGATAATGATGATGGAAAAAGTTGATTTTAGGTCAACACTTGATTTTGTAAATATATTATAATCGTCAAATTATCTTAATTTCAATTCTGGTTATGTATATGCCCAAAAACATATGAGACTTGCTGTCGTTTTGATATATAATTCGAATTTTGTATTGACGATTAATGAAATAATACGAAAGTTCCTGGACCATGATGTTATAAGCTCATTTTCATTTTGTACTGCACAATATTTCAGCACCAATTAGTTGTAACATCAGAGGATACATATCATTACAATTGGATAGTGAATATGATGAAATTAGCATATCATGCATGCCTAGCAACGTGGAATTGAGTTTAACCACATGCTTTTTAAACAGTGTTTTTTAATGTATTGTTATCTTTGGATCTTTTTTTTTTTTTTATAAAAGTATGAACAGGAATATCAGAGTTGGCAACTTTGAGCATGTTCGGGAAAGAACGGTTAATTATACGAACATCGATTATTACCGTTCGGATTTTCTCGGGTTTCCACAGTGTACAAAGCCTCTGTCGGACAAACTGTCTTCTTTTGTACACGACAATTACAAAACAAACAAAAACAAAAATAAAAACTTCCCCCGCAATTATGGCTGATCCTGAAAAAATTAAACAAAACTGTTAATAGTTCCAAGACGACATTAGCCTGATTACGTATGACAACAAAATCAACAGATATTGTGTAGTCCTAACTCCTATGTGATTTAGTATCACCTAATGTATTATCAATAATATATGCACAAAAATATATCCCGGATGTCGACCAATTTATGATTATGATTACTGTTCGAAATGAATATCCAACTTATTGAGAGTGCATTTTAGTTATAGCTGTATTTTCGCAATTTGTGCAAAATATGATATATAATTAAATAAATTATGTATTAATACACATGTTATTTACCATATGTATAACTGTGGATTTATAATAACCATTATCATAAACAAAATACAAATACAAAATACAAACGATCGGTATTATTATTTGGTGTAGTGACATATATATAAGCCGTATTTAAAGTAAAATGTATTACTTATGTGCAATATTGCCTAAATATTACATGAAAATTATAACAAGCGTGGGATAAATATTATTGAAGGAAATTGTATGTTGTGTCAGAATTCCCACAACAGTTTATTGTTTTTAATTGGTTTCGTTCGCATATAGATATGTTCGCGCAATCATTTTGTCGATGAGAGAGAGAGAATAATCCCCTATTATTTCCCTAAATATTACCACGGTATTCGTTCGTATTATTGATTTAATATTGTTCAATTGTGATTCAGTGCTTTCTTGAATTTCACATATTGTTATTGTGTTTACTCAATTATTTGTCTTTATTACATGTTCAACTTTTCTCTTATTAACCAATCATGGTTCATAGCAAATGAACCAATCAGCACCAAGCCAGCTAAAATTGTTTGCGGTTGCTGATCTTACCAAGGCTATAAAAGGCCTGAATACTAGTTTTAGCGCGCGAGTACTTGTAGTGACGAGTTAATAAAAGAGGTTATTTGATATCGTTTATTTGTTTACTATTTCCTTGATTAACAGTCCCTTGTCCCACGCACCATAAAGTTTACGCTCGTTAGGGTTGAGATAAGTGTGAAACCCTTTTTCCAGGTTCTCCCTACACATTTAAACATGGTAATATATGCCATACATTTCAGCCATTATGTGTTATATTCGCTGGACTTGACCAAAACAATAACATTCCCAACGATCATCTCTTAAGCCACTTATTCGTGTTCGATGTCCATTGGAACATCATGAAACACAATTAAGTTATTATTATTATTCATTGTATGTTTAGAAAATCAACTGACTTAATAAAAAATAATTTACCGATATTCCATGCACAGTTTGTCCAAAACCAAAGACCTTGACAATTGCAAATATAAGCTGTACAGTCCGTATCATCAGGAATACATGTTCCACCATTTAAACAGGGCGCAAAGTCACATAGAGAGGTATCTGTCGATCAAAATGAGAATATAGATAAACCATATTGTACCGCATATTCCATCAAACGAAAATATTTAAAAAAATGTTCGGGTACGGAATAAAACACACAATATGAATACATGGATATGGTGTTGTGAACGTTTGGTCAAGCTTTATGTGTTTTTTCCGGATTCTTCTAGACTATACATTGCCCAATAGTATATATCAGCCTATGACAATTGGTTTTCAATTAGCGATATGTAACATGAGTCTTTCCTGCTAATTTAGAGGATATTTATATGGTATTGGTTATGTATGTTCGCTTTCGTATTACGAATATACATCGTCTTGATTCGAGTTGCTGTTCCGCCTTGTCGTTGCTGTCCCCTGTCTTTACAAGAACCAGTACCTCACATATAAGTAAGAACTTGAGATCGTTATTCTACACACTATTATATGTTCATTGCCAAAGCAATGCTGGCACGAATATGTAACCAGTTATATAGAATATATGAAAAGAAACATTAGAACCTGATTTGTTTTTGTATTTGTAATCGAAGTGTTTTTAAGATTGCCTAAGCTATTATGATATGTGTATTAGTATATATACACATCAAGATGATCGTAAACTTACAATTGCTGCAGTGTTCTCCAGCATAACATTGCCCACACTGACATGTGTAATCAACACAGGAGTCGTTCATTGCAACACACTTCCCATCGTTAAGACATGGGTTTGGGCTGCAAGGGTTAACCTCTGTAAAAAAATAGAATTGTGTAATTATATATGTCTATATCAAATGTCACAAAGTTTATATTTTATGAAACATTACTTTATATTATGTATTTATAGTATTATGTAGAAGTTTGACCTGAAAGATCGAATAAAAAGACCTACCTTGGTGGCACACATCTCCTGTAATACACTCTGGACATTCACACGTGTATTCTGAACATGAGTTATTGGTTGGATGACACGTTCCGTTATTGCGACAAGGATTGTCTAATTGGCATACGTCTTCAATGTCTGATAAAACAAAAGGAAAAAACGATCAAAGTCGGCTTTATTCGTATTAAAGACTAACAACTATGCAATTATATAAAAAAATATGTGTTATAATTGAAATACATACTTTAATGTTTGTATATATACATTTATTTGTATATGAATGTTTTAAATACTAGTGGCAGCAGCTGTCCACGACTTTTATAGCTTTATACGTCATAACCAATGTTGCACCTAATATATTATACGTATTTATCTGTTTATGTGTTAAAACAGGTTGAACCTAATTTATAACTGAATCTCATTCATTGTACGTGATTTCAGTGTTATGTGTTATATCTTTCATCTCACGGATTTCGAATGCGACAACTCACATATTATTCTGCAAACAGTATTAGTAGCAATTGCTTTAAACCACCATCGACAAGATATTTCTTATTTGTAATTTGTTATATTGTATAGAATGGTCTTGTTGTAAGCTCGTGAATAAAAAACACACACACTATACTACAATTTAGATTATAATATGTTTGATATTCGCTCTTCCATGAAATCGTCATTATATTTAAGCATAGGTATGGTCACTGCAAGACTATGTAGTACATAAGTAGAACCGACTAAGTCTGACAAAATAATTGTTCTGAATCAGAATTTGTTTGATGTGGTAAGCTTAGTTGGATTTGTGTTTATTTGTGTTTGTTAGTTGGTTTTTCATTCATGTCAAATGATTTCATCACATGTTTCAAACCTAAACATTGTGGTTGAATTTTGTTGTCAGTATTGTACAGAAAGTAAACTTACAAGTTTCACAGTTTCTGCCATTGTAACATTCGGGACATATGCATGTATACTGGAAACAGGAGCGTCCTTGTTGTGCGCATATTCCACCATTGCACGGATTTGGGTCACATGGTTTCAACACTACAATTGAAACAATATTATTTCTCATAACACGACCATGGTGCATATCATTGACAGTTGTGACGTTTAGCGTGACATATCACTGCTAATACAATAAACGTCACGATGTTCACATTACGTCATCATTTTATGAGTGTTCGGACAATAGGCGGAAAAAAACGTACGACGTTTCCGTATTTATCGCTGCGATATAAAACACTTCAGAACTGGATAACAACTCACATGGTGCAATAACAGTAAATCATTAATAATAATGGCGACTGACAATTTTATTTTGATAAACAATATTGCTGCCGATTTAAAAAAAAAAACGTCGACGACCTTACTTGCCAATGCATAATTATTAGGATTCATTTTTGTCGTTCCGTAATACTACGATTTCTCTGTCTTTTTGACACTCGCAACTTACATTGCTCACAGTAGCGGCCAGTATAACAGTCCGGACAGATGCACGTCTCACTGCAAAACAGGTCATCTCTCTCGCACGTACCAGGCCAGCAAGGGTTAGGATTGCAGGGATCATAACCTGTTCGAATGTTAAAATATGAGCCATTTAAATCTGTTTAGCGTTTCAACCAAACCTTACAAACTAATGCTAATATGAACAGAATATAATCTACAAATCACCCTACCAGTCTTCATATCATATTTGGTCAAGACAAACACATATTCAGCAGTTTCGTCAACTTCAAACATTTTAGCGAAAAAGTTATCTATTCAAAGGGAATTATCATTAACGACTACATTTGTTTATTATATATCATGTTACCAGTTGAAAACAGCACCAATCTCTCATGCATTATTGTAAAGTCTTTCCCATGGCGCCCTCTGGCGATCATATTTTTATATTACTTAAATTTGACAAATGAAAGTCATTAGAACCGTTGATATTCTTTCCATATTTTTGAGAGATTTGAGTGATGAGCGAATACAAAATAACTCTACAAGTGTCGATTACAGCAATATCTCTTCCATTTATTTACCGGTATGTCATGTTGACGTCATAGAAGCTCTTCCTTGCTAGAGGGCGCGACTTGTCGTGTTTTGTCACGCATGTTAATAGGTTGGTTATTATATGAATATTGACGACTGTTTTGTGTCTTTGACTGGGTATGTACCTCCAAGGAATATGAATTAATATTCTAATTGGCGCGGTGTTATTTTTATTTCACTTCACATTAAGTTGATTGCATGTTTAAACCTATAGAGTGTGTGTATGTACTGTGTAATAAGTTAATGATCAATTAGTTGATTACTGCATGACAGTCATGCACAGAAACACATGTACGATCTGATCGTTTGTCATGCTTGAAACGTTAGCCACAGGTAGTGAGTGACCTTGTTTACAGGCACTTAGAGTGTAAAAAATGTCGTATCTTCGATAGTTCTGCGCAATTATCAAAAATGTGATTAACGGGACAACCATATACCGGCAAATTAATCGATTATATAAGCGAATATAACATTTACACTTGGTACATTACTTATCCTACTTTTGTTTTACAGTTGATAAGGAATATCAAACTTCCATAGTTAGTATTGTAGTATTGATTCGTTGCTTGTGAATATTTCATACTATATTGGCTCACCGTTTACCTGCAGAAAAACATCTGGCGCGTTTCAAAGTACGCTTTATTATTCTAACGCCAAACAGGTATTTAACACTTATTCAACAAGTATTGTTCAAATAAACACGCCACTTACATCGTTTGATCATTTCAAATCAAACAGCGGAAGAACCGAAACGCAGATAAAAACTTTTTAAATCGCTTAAAATGTTCCACCTGGATTATAACCAAAATTTCAGGAGCGTGAAGCCAGCAGCACTGTCTAAACAATGAAATGAGACGAACACATAATGCTAAGGTACGAGTGATCACGGACATGTATCTACATCTTTATCTTAGCATTTGTGTGTGCAATTGATGTAGTGAAGTAGGAACGAAAGGAAACACGAAATATGTTCTCGTTTGAGGTTATTTCACT